ACCGACTCACCTCCGTGCAGGAAACGCGTGAAATGGAGTGCGCGCGATAGTGCATAAAATACGAATATCATCCGCGTGCGACGACCCGCCCGCTATACCATCCCAGCCCCGCTGGAATATTCGGGGCCGCATGGATATCAATCTACCGATATATTATCGGTGTATCGACATACCGGGACGCCGCGCGCCGAAATATCGACACGCTCATCTCGCTTTGTTGCGCAGCGCGCCGCGATATTGGCCGCGTTAACGTCGCCTGCGTTTCGCGTGTATGCCTTTCCTCGAGAGCAGCACATTGTGTCGTACATAATTCATCTCGCACCAGTCGGTCCATCGATGGATTAGAAATCATGTCGTATCCCGGGAGGAAAAAGTGTGCGCGCGACATTTTAGATCGACCTTTCCCTTTCTCCAAGGAAATGAGATATTTCCGGTTTTACGAAAAAGCGCCGTATGCAGATAATGTAACTCGATTGAATAGCATTTCGCTTATTAAAATAATTTACAATTTTTACGATCGACTGAATGACACGATAATGAGATGCACTCATCTAAATTACGAATGAATTACGATTTTCCTGTATTAAAATGATTAAATTACCGAGATATTATCCACGAGTTCGCTTTTCGAGTATCGACGAAAATTAATTTGTGACATGGAATACGCTATTAATAGCCGTTAATGCGTGAGTGAGGTGCAAATCCGTAGCAATATCTAATCGAAAAATATCACGCGACCATTTCCATTCAAAAGATTGCAGATTAAATCCCCTGGAGCGCACATCGTATTGGATACACACACACACACATACACATATGAGTAACAATATTCAAAGAGTCGACGTATTTTCTATTTTCGAAAATAATAATTAAAATAGTAATTTGGAATAAACTCTTCAAATAAATTTTAAAATTTCAAAGAATGGGTATCTCGAAAAATAAAAATGTGTGTATAAACGTTATGTTACGTGTTTTTCCACGATGTCCTTTATAGGCCGTGCAAGTCACTCTCGTTCGTCGAATTCTCGCGTTGCAGATATCCCCCCGGCTCATGTTCCGCTTGCCGACTTTTTGCAGCGAATTGCACGGGCGGCAGAGGGGCAATAGGCAGACACGCCGTACCCCGCGAAACGTTATTACGTCCGACACTTTATTCGCTCTATCGCTGCTGGCACAGACGAGGGCATTCCTCTGAATTCCGCGAGTGCCGCGAGCGCCCGCGCGATGTAATTTGCTGCGGCTATGTAAGAGTAACGTATAGCGCGTTATGTGTGTGTTTGCATTTGTATTTGCATCGATCGTATGTCGAGATAATTACAACGCGGCACGTGTGAGTGTCGCGTCCTTCCACTTTGATAAGAAGTGCTTCGTGGATTGCAATCCGGACACGACCCGGCGTACAATAGGGACGCGCGCGCGTCCAAAAAGGAACACCACCGAACGCCACCGTGCAAATTAGATTCAGCTTCGCTTCTGGTTAATCCCTCTGGACATCCCGTTATTTAACCCTCAGATACCCGAGCATTTCAAATTAACGTAAAACATTGCGCTTTTCGAAGAATTCCATTGCTTTAATCAATTAATGAAGGAAGAAATTATACAATTATTACTATTAAATTAATGCACCTAAAACAATCTGGCGATCGCTCTGCTTCCGATCTAATTAGTAAACATATAATTTTATATAAGCTTTTCTTAACTCATAATTTTAATATTCGATAAACGTGCGTACACATGTAAATATAACAGTTTACACATGTGTTATGTAAATATAACACATGTAAATATAACAGTTTAACTCTTCAACATTCGAATCCATTCGAATTTGGATTATTTAAAATTTAAAGGGATAATTTTCTGACTGTTCCTAGAAAAGTATGAAACTAGTGTATACTTTTTTAGGCTTGGCCTAAAGCGCTTGGCCCTTGGCGCTTGGTCGGGTTTCTCAAGTTAAATTACCAAAAGCAGCGTATGTGTTTCTTCATACGTCGTGTTCTATTTGTCTGGTATGCGTCGTTGGACGCACACATGTGAATACACGATGATATGTCTCTGGTCGCGTACAAGTATTACATCCGCGCAACTCGCGCGCGTCCAACAAGTCTCGCTCAAAGGGGACGTAACAGTACGTATCGTGTGTGCCTGAAACACGTCGCGGCAATCTCGTTACCCAGCTAAAGACGTCTCTACCCCTCGGCAACATTCGAAGACGTCCGGACCAAAACCAATTTCGCTTAAACCTATCTCGGTGCTGTTCTTTCTCCTTTTCCTTTCTCCGAAACCTCTCGCTTCCAGAAGACTGTTCCCCATGTGCCAAAATAGCGCCCGGTATTTGCTAAGGGCGTCGAGAGATAAGAAAATTCAATTGCGTCGCAATGTCGCACGTCAATGGTGTTAAAAAGACACGGTCCTGAAAAAAGAAATCCGCCGTTCTTCTCTTTTTCGCCGAAAAATTCTCCCCAAAAAATTCCAGCGGGTTGTTGCACGTGCCATGGAATATCGCGTACCAAAAGTTTCAGTTTCGTGTAGTGTTTCGATAAAGTCAACGTTTTCCGATAATCGAATGTTATGTATCGCGTTAAAGCGATATGTTTCTTTTGCATTTTAAATCCTCGTGCAAAATATTTGCAATTTTTTGAGTTATTCTAAAATTTTGAAACCGTCGGAAAAGCTAGAAACTCTTTTTCTCGCATGATATTATACTCTACAATTTTGAAGTTTCCAAGTAAATTGTTATTAAGTGCAATTTCAAGCTTTATAAATTAATTAAGCGTTTGTAGCTTATAACATCGTGAACTAAGACGAAGTTTGGAGTACTAATAATCAAATTAGTAATCCCTTAATTCCCTTTTAACGAAGACAAATTTTCTCTTGTGTATAGATGTCTTCGTGGAATCTTCTCGTTCTTATAATCGACGTAGATCGAACGAGATTAAAAAGCGATTACGCGATAACGAGCAGTTTAACATCAATATACTCTTAATGATTCTGTAAAATAATTGAGTCTTGACATCAATGGAGTGCGACGTGCCCGCGCGTGTTAAACACTTATATACTCATAAAGACGTTCAAAATCCAATTCGTCAAGCAAAATTCATTTAAAAATCAATTTGCAAAAACACGGAGCAATTTACACTTAATTTCGCAGGCTGAATTTGTCATTGATAAAATTTAAACACAGAATATTTTTCGATTATAATCATCTTTTTAAAAATTCATTATTTTTATCTTATTATTTCAAATTTAAAAAACTCGGATTTTTTCATCATTTTTATTTATTGAATGAAAAGACAATCGCGTTTGTCTTATTATTCTATTTGCGGATTTCGAGATACGACTTCGTTCATTTCGTAAAAAATAAAAATTATAAATTTAGCAAAAGTCTGTGTAAATATCACTGTAGCAGCGTTAAAAAAATTTTGTAGACCAATGCTGACAGAAATGAATCAAGCGACAAAGGTTATTCTGCGAAACGTGGAAATTATTCCACGCTATCGTTACGGGTTAATTCCTGAAGCGCTTAAATAATAGTAAACAGTGTCTGCGACATTACACGCACGCTAATAAGGTGATTTCGAGCACACATTTATATATATATCCGCATAGGCAAGGTAATTAACGCGATAGCAATGTCAAAATGTCGGCATGCTGACGATTACTGTATGGTGCATTTAATTCGCGCGCTAAACCGGCCGGAACGGAGCTTTATCCACTTTGCGAAGACGATGAAAATTATCATCGGACTTACGCACAGAAAGAAAAGGTATTTACTCGGATGAACGAAACGCAACCATCTCCCTCGCAACCAGCTTAAATATAAATATCGCACACCTCGATCAAATTACATGTATACCTAACAGTAAATTCTATCTCTTGATGCACCTGAAGCGATAATTATTACCGTTGGATATTACACAGAAATATTTCGAAACTGTTCCGTAACATGCTGTCGGCTATCTATGATTAATATTCAAACGTTACATCGTAATTAAAGAAATAAAATAAAAAATATGGATGATTCAAGATATATTAAAAAAAGAAAAACCTTTTGTATTTTATTTAAGTTATTGTTGCGTACACTGAGAAAAAAATGTTCTGGATTTTAGTAAAAATTAGTTTGCATACAACTGTGACTCTATTTACTCAAATGAAGAAAATTTTTCTTTTTATTAGTATATTTGTATTCACTAGGAAAAAAATATACTAATAAAAAGAAAAATTTTCTTTATTTGAGTAAATAGAGTCACAGTTGTATGCAAACTAATATTTACTAAAATCCAGAACATTTTTTTCTCAGTGTATACGTAAGTAAAGTACAGTATGGAGCTGTATTAACTGCATAATTTGTCCGATCGACTTTGTACTTGTTTTGTCTTGTCATCGTTAATCGAGAAGCTAGTTCGCTTCGTTCTGCTTTCCTTTTTTCGACATAATCTCACCGTTGGGAATGCGGGACTATCGACGGACGAAATTTCATAGGATTTTAATTACGGGCGAAGAAATCGATTTCTAATTCCCGCTTCGGTGGTGCGCTATACAGAACAATTCCCGCAGGTTTGCGAAATGAGAAGAGTAAAAAAAGAATTTTCCCCGCTGTAACCGGCCGATTTCACCCTTAAGTGGAATGTTTTAAAATTTCTCACCGACGACGAGACGAAGGGAAAAAGCGTAGTTCGGCAAGAAGGGAAAAAAAAGACAAGCCATGCACGAATTCGTGTGAGTATGTGCGCTTTTTTTACGCCCTTTTTTGTCGCGGCGGAAAAAAGCGCCGCGCCGTAACGCTCTGACGATGTCATTTTTTCCGGCAAACCAGCGGCGATTCTCTGGCCGCGCGTTTCACATGAAATATTTTCAAATAAAAAGAGTGCAATTAAAAAATGACGCGCGCACACGGACGATATTTGATAGCATTACAAACGCGTGACATCGCGAAATTATCGCGCGGAATTGTTGTGGGAATACAGAACGCAAAATTTCATAACCACAATTGTGAAACTCACCCTCGAGATCCCTCGTTGGACGCACGGCTTCCACAGGGTCGTTTAATCTTAGGACAGGATATGCCTCACCACGGGTGATCAACGACGCTTTAATAGTCACCTGTGATACAACAAATACAACTCTCATTCTCGGCTCCCGAGACCATTTCTCATTTGTATTGTATTAATCATATATAATATACGGTGGAATATTTTCCATTAGGAAAAAAACTTGTCGTATTTTAATATCGACATCGCTTTTGTATTAATATCTAGAATATTTATCTGTTTATTGATTTTCACTTATTTCTTGTCGTATTAAAAAAAGAATAAGTAAGTGATGTCAATCAACCGAATTGTTAGCATCTTTTTTAAATATTTATTTTTACACGTTTATAAAAATACTTTTGCACTAAGTGTGTGCTAATAAAAATAATTTCTTCTGCAATGTTTAATTCACTTTTGGCTCATTAGAAAATAACAGCTATTTAATTTCAGCACTTCCCGATTGTTTATACCCTGCATATTGCCGGACGAATGTTGATTTCCTGATTGTCGGCCGTTCAGTCAGGTCTTTCGACAATACGTAAATTAATCGACAAATTAGCGATACCACTCTCGGTTACTGCGAGAGACGCGATAGGGCTCCGGGTTATGCGACGGCCATACGACAGTAATGGCGCTCGCAGCTGACGACGTTAATAGAAGGATTTCGGGGGTGAGCTTCCTCCCTCCGCTCGCCGGACTAATTAACCTCGTTATATCGCCGGTCCGACCAACAGGACGCTACTCCTGTTTCCGATGTAACGATCGTCGTACCTCTGTACGATCCGACCCGACGCGAGACATCTCGCCGTCGAGAGAGTTTAATTAATCTAATGACGGTCTCCGTAACATCCTTGAGTGACCGATGTAACCCGATGTGACGTAAATACACGAGGATATACCGAGTGCCCCCAGTCCGTTTTTTGAATCAATTTTTTATTAACAAAAGTATCGAAGTAGAGTCATTATTCATACACAGTAAAAAATCTAATGTCCCAGAAAGTCCACTCTAAATTTTGTGTTAAAATAACACGATGAATGAGTTATTTTAACACAAAATTTAGAGTGGACTTTCTGGGGCATTAAATTTTTTACAGTGTAAAATTAAAGAACAAAAAATTCCGATAAGCAACATTCTCATTTGGTACTGTCGCTGAACGGAAATCGTTTCCAGACCGTTCGAAAAATCCGTCATTCAAAAATAATGTAGCAGAACTGAACCACGCATTATTTACTGTCACTAATTATTATAAGCCTAAAATTTAAAAGTATATATTTTTATGTAAGGGTTAGTATTGTAAACGTGTTCGTTGAACTCTAAATAGACAAAAAATATCGAGGCATTGAAATGCGAATAGTATTTCTCTAAAAGTTCAGCCTGGGGAGACCAGATGTTACATAGGTCGATGGTAACTTTAGTTTTAGCAACTGTCACGCATTTGTTACTGTTCCATCACACTGGGTGTCACAACTGACGATCGATGGGTTCAATCGAAATACGAAAGGCCACAACTCGCGATTCGCGACAAACACGACGACCACCGTCACAAATCGAATTTAGCATTCGAGGCAACGTTTCGAAAATCCGCGAAAAGTCACAATTTTATTTCCGCCGAGCGAAGCGAGATTCATGTTTCAAACTATCCGATCTGTCATTTTTTTTTTAAATCAAAATAATCAAGTACCTAATATATCACGAGCACTGGTAAAGTACTAAAGTATACAAATATTGACACAAAAAGATGATCCTACATTAAAAAACTAAAAAATAGAAAATGTATGATAAAATTATATTGTATACATAGCCGTTTTAAAGAAAAAAGGTTGGTATCAATCGATAGGCGGAAGCCTACATGGTTCAAAGTAACGAAGCCCCTCGGTGCATTGCTCCGACGGGAGACATTAACCGGAAGTAACTCCGCCTCTATCAGATGCCTCGTCATACTGTTCATTACTTATCGATCCAACCAGCGAAATTGAATTTAGCGGGAGAGGGCGACGGGAAAAAAGATCGACGTAGTATTAGGGGGGGAAAAAATGAGGGATTGGCAGGGCAGGAGGCGGGCAGGGTGAGAGGGCACGTTTCGAATCGTGCGCCAAGAGCAGAGAGCGAAGGGTGCAGGGCGGGGAGGGACCGGTCGAAATAACCGAGACGAGAATCGAGGAGAAGCGAGTCGCGCTCTCTCGTGGAATTTATCGCGTTAGTACTACGAGCAGGGCGAGCGAGCGAAGCTCTAACACTCTCGACACCGGGATTCCAATTAGCCACTTTAGCCATTTCGCGAGATCGAATTCTACCGATTCTCGTCTCGTTCCTCTCTTCAGTCTTCCCCTCGCCTCGGTCCCTTACCTCGCGAGGCATCGCGCAGATCTCGCAATAGCATTGACGATGTTGGAGTACCTCGCCTCCGAATACCCGATTATATTGAGCATTACGGGTATTAAATGCTTACTAATTCGATATCTTCGGTAATGTAGTATAATAGAATCTTCATCATTTCCATTAACCGAATGTTCTACCGTTCGAGCAAAATATTCGACGTGTGGAACATTGCTTCTTCTACCGAATTAGAATATTGCGCTTACTTTCTAAAGGTGCGCTTCCTGACTTTCAAACGTTAAACAAAAGGTTTTAAAAAATGACATAAAATTAACATAATTTCGGTTAGAACTGCACTACCAGACTTACATAATTTAGCAGACGTGAGGGGTCCATAAACGTCAGTTTTGCGCAGATCGTTCTTTTCTTCGAAATAAATAAAGTTAAGCGTCGAGAAAGCGATTGTTGCTCTCGGAACGACAAATCGAACTCGAAACGGTGAGACAATTTAAGTAATTTTATCGAATCCGTTTTCTCTTCGTGTTAGCGGCGTTAGAAAAGCGAGCTAGACCGAACTCGTTGTATTGACTCATTCCGCGAGCATGGAATTCCGGTGGACGGAATTCTCTCGACGGTGCGATTTCCGACCGTATAACCAAGTGCAATCGTTAGATGTGCGCGCGCGCGCGCACGTTCACGTAAAATAATAACCAAGAGGCGCGAGCTCCGTTTTGCACGTGTTCGCAATTCCTTTCTTCTCTTTCTTTTTTTCTTCTTCTTCGTTCAACGACTCCTTTTTCCTTCGACGGTATTTCGCTTTTACGTTCTCGTGCAATAACGAGGTGTTGCTGCTTTTCATGTTCACACTTCTCTCTCTTTCTCCCTCTCTCTCTCTCTCTCTCTCTCTCTCTCTCTCTTTCTCTCTCGGTTTTTTACTTTCTCCACAATGTTTCTTCTCCATGTCTATCGTCGACTTCCTTAACGTCGCTTTATGGAGAATGCTCACTGCTGTTTCGCGTCTTGCGTTTCGTTCAGCGAAACGAACTCGCCGTCGTCAGCGAAAAAAATTCATCTTCACCGTGACGCGAAAGAAACCAGCGACACGAAGTAATTCTTCATTGCAGAATACGTAGAACGCAGCCTGGCACATAACGTCGACGAAAGGAAGACATAACACAGGCGAAATTGCGGATTCCGCGACAATATTGAATGTTTCATATATTTCAAATATCTTTTCCCACAGAATTTCGAAATTTATATTTCGCATTCAAGCCAGGTTTTTCGAAGTATCCTGTGATTCGCACCCGGCATGCGAAATATGTTTTTACGATATTTTCTCCATCGGGCTCTGTCTATAAATAACATCGATTCGTGAACCAATCAAAATATAGAACCCTATATGGCCTATATTTTTTTTTTCACCATTTGATGGATACAGTTTATAAAAGACAAATTACCGGCAGATTCTAATTTCCTTTTAACGAGAGACGATATGTGTACATCGTGCATCATTCGATTACGCGAAGTGTCCCGCAGTTTGGTAGTCGTGGTATTGGATGAAATTGCGGTATGCGTGTGATTGTACGTAAACTGCGTTTGTTGACAGATGTATTTAGCGCGAGGTCCGAGAGGGTGACGAGAGGAGGAGGAGAAGAGTGTCGCACGCACATATTGTGTCGCGCGCATACCGCGTCGCCGTTCATCGTTTCATTCGGGCTCGTTAACCATCGTTAGCGCTCCTGTCCGTTTCCCTTGTCGACTAAACCAGCGCGCGGCTCGCCGCAAAAACCGCGAAACGCGCGCGACAAAACTGTCCCGAACGGAAAACCGCAGCCTTACCGGCAGCCACGGCGCGGCGGCGGTCGCGTCTTTCGTCTACGCTCGTAACGGTAATTGCGCCTGACGCTCGCACAGGTATATTCGAGAACGTCGCGCAACTCGTGCGGCCTGTCCTTCGCTCATCATTTCCTTCGCAGATGAAGGACAGAAGAGATTTCTGCGTATCAACGACAAGAGACATTCTGAAGAGAAAGGTTTATGAACTACCACATTTCTTTGAATTGTGATAAATGCAATTGTAATAATTATATAATCATAACTTTCTGTAAATTAATAATTATGATAATGCTTCCTATTTATTTTACTTAACGTTTTCTGGGAAGCGTGCGCCGCATCTTCGCGTTTATGACTCAAGGATCGACCTAGGGGTTGACGCGACGCCCGTCTGGAAGAGCGACTCTGCTCTGACTAAGTACCTCTTCGGAACACACAGCGTGTACTCGTCGACGCGACGATGCTGGTGTCGTCTCGTTTGCGGCAACGGAGACTCTCGCAATCATTGCGTCGCAAATTGCCCCGCAAACATCTCGCGGAGCGTCCCAGTAATCTCGCCGGGATACGGTCGTGTATTCACGTCTGTCGCGCCATGGGGGATCGTAAAGTACGAGTACACGCATATACACGCTCGTAGAGCCGGGCGAAGATTTAGGAAAATACGCGAACTACGGAAGAGAGGATCTTGCCGAATCCCGCCTGTCGCGATTTACTCGTTAATAGTTAGCTTGCCGTACGGGTTGTTGTTCCGCTGTTAAATGGGTAATGACAGAGAACTCGGATAAATTTAGTGTCTTTAGCGGAGGTTTCGAGGAAAGACGTCGCGGTTCTGTGATCCTTGACGTTAAATATCTTCGTGGTGAGACGTCGAGTTTTAATGTCTCGCTTAAGTAAATAGCTTTAAATTAAATGGCGAGTAAAAT